TACATACTCGAAAAAAGGAAAATTCCAAAAATTGGAAAACGGAAAATTCGAAAATTCAAAAATCGAAAATCGAAAAAATGTAACCTAGATTCTATTATTTATCAATATAAAATCCAACTTCCGTTTGTTTTAAATCTTAGATTCATGAAAACTTGAAATATCCAGAAATTGAAACATCAAAAGATCCAGACCAACCGAAAAACCTAAAGTTAAAATATCGAAAAATGGAAGATCCATAAATAGAAAAAGCGTTGAAAGGATGAGAAACCGAAAAATGGAATTTAAATTTTAAAAAATTTAAAAAACGGTAAATGTGAATTTTAAAAAAACGGAAAATTGGAAAATCGAAAAATTGAAATATCTAGAATTCGGGAAGTCGAAAAATTGGAAAATCATGCAATCTAAAAATCGAGAAACGAAATAGCCCCAAATCGGAAAATTAAAGTATTAAAAATGAAAGTTTCAAAAATTGAAAAACCTGAATTTAAAAAAAGTGGAAAAATCGAAAAATTAAAACAACGAAATCTGGATAAATCGAAATATCGAAAAATTGATAAAACTAAAAATAAGAAAAATTTTAAAAGCGAAGAACTGAAACATAAAAAAACGGGAACTTGAGAAATCGAAAAATTTACATTTTAGAAAATCAAAAAATGAGATAATCGAAAAATTGAAAAATCGAAACAACGTGGAATCGAGAAATTGAAATAGCCCAAAATTGAAAAATTTAAATTAAAAAAAAAACGATAAATAAAAATATCGAGAAATTGAAAAATCGAAAAATTTTGAAATCAGACAATCGAACAATCAAACATTAAACTATCGATAAATCGAGAAAGCGAAAAACTGAAAAATTTAGAGGTCGAACAACTGAAAAGGTGGAATATTTAAAAACCAAAGAACTGAAACAACGAAAGAAAAATCAGAAATTCAAAAAATCGGAAAAACTGAAAAATAAAAATAAACGAGTAAAATAAAAAAATTGAAACACCGAAATCTGGATAAATCGAAAAATGGAAAAATTGATGAAACTAAAAAATCGAAAAATTTTAAAACCAAAAAAATTGCAAAATCGAAAAACTGATAAAAAACTAGAACTCGAAAATTCAAAAAGTCTAAATTTTAGAGTATCAAAAAATTGAAATTTCAAAAAATTTCAGAATCGACAAATTGAAAAATCCCAAAAAGTGAAACTCCGGAAAACAAACATTTCCAAAAATTGCGAAATCCAGAAATCGAAGTTGAAAAATCGAAATATGTAAAAACTGAAAAATCCAAACCTGAAAAATCAAAAAATTGAGAAATCGGGAAATGAGAAAATAAAGTCGAAAAGTGAAAAAAATCGGAAAATTGAAACATTGAAAAATCGAAACAACGAGGAATCGAAACATCAAAAGATCGAAAAATCGAAATAACCCAAAATCAAAAAATGTATTTAAATTTTTTCGATTTTGGACCATAAAAACATAAATCGAAAAATCGGGAAATTGAAAAGTTGAAAAATTTTGAAATCGGACAATCGAAAACTCGAAATATCAAAATCTTGATAAATCGAAAAGTCGAGAACAGAAAGCCAAAACCGAAAAACCAAGAAATCGGAAAATGGAAACACTGAAAAATCGAAACAACGAGGAATCAAAACATCAAGTCGTACAACTGAGAAGGTGGAAAATTTAAAAACCCAAAGACTTGAAAAAACGAAAGAAAAATCAGCAATTTAAAGAATCTGAAAATTGGAAAAACAAATAATCCAAGAGTCGAAAAAATCGAAAAATCGAGAAATCGAAACATCAAAGAAATGAAAATCTAAAATATAGAAATTCGAAAAATTGAAAAATCGAAACAACATGGAATGGAAACATCAAAGGATCGAGAAATTCAAATAGCCCAAAATCGAAAAATGTAAATTAAAAAAGAACGATAAATCGAAAAATCGAGAAATTGAAAAATCAAAAAATTCTGAAATCGGACAATCGAGCATTAAAATATTGATAAATCGAGAAAGCGAAAAACTGAAAAATTTAGAAGTCGAACAACTGAAAAGGTGGAAAGTTTAAAAACCAAAGAACTGAAACAACGAAAGAAAAATCAGAAATTTAAAAAATCGGGAAATTGAAAAACCAAATAATCCAAGACCGAGAAGTCGAAAAATCGAAAGATGGAGAAATCGAAACATCAAAGAAGTGAAACATTTTTAATTTTTGAAATTTTTTGAAATTTAAAAGTCGAGCAATTAAAACATTGAAAATTTGAAGAATCCAAGAAGTAAAATCTGAAAATTTAAAATTCGAAAAACTGAAAAACTCGAATTTAAGAAAACTAGAAAACTGGATAAATCGAAAAATCGAAAAGTTGAAACTAAAAAACCGAAAAATTTTAAAACTGAAAAATAAAAAAACGAGAACTCGAAAAATCGAAAATCTATAGAATTGATCGAGCTATAAATCGAAAATTTCAAAAATTGAAAAATTGAAGAACCGAAAAACTAAAAAATCCCAAAAATGAAACTCCGGTAAACAGCGATTTCGGAAAATTGCGAAATCGAGAACTCAAAGTCGAAAAATTGAAATATGTAAAACTGAAAAGTCAAAAAATTGAAAATCTGGAAATTGAGAAATCGAGAAATAGGAAAATCAAAATATCGAAAAGTCGAAAAGTCAAGAAATGGAATCAAAAAACCAAGAAATCGGAAAATTGAGACATTGAAAAATCGGAACAACGAGGAATCAAAACATCTAAAGATCGAGAAATCGAAATAACCCAAAATCGAAAAATTTAAATTGGAAAAAAAACGATAAATCGAAAAATCAATACACCAAAATCTCCATAAATCGAGAAAGCGAATTGAAATATTTTAAGTCGAACAACTGAAAAGGCGGGAAATTTGAAAACCAGAGAATTGAAAAAACGAAAGAAAAATCAGAAATCGAAACATAGAAGTGAAAAATCTAAAATTTGAAAAATGGAAAAATTAAAATATAAATCGAAAAATCGGAAAACTGAAATAGGTTAAAGACGTGTTTGAGCTGGGGATGATATTGCAGTTAGTTTTACATCGAAATATCCTCGTGAATAATTTATAGCATAATCCATTTTTACCTACCCTACAAGTTTTTTCACTCAGACAATTAAACTTCATGTTAAACGGCTCACTAAACACTCCGGTACATATTTAATTCCCCGGATAAAAAATCGCTAAACATCTTTAACCTCAAATTCTCCTCGTGTAAGTCGCCAAATCCCGCACAGTCGCACCCTCACTAAAATATGGTAAGTGTTTTGTAGATCGCCGAGTCTCAATCTTGATAAAGTTAAAACGCACCCGGAGAATATTTTTCCAGCCAACTGTTCCTAGAATTTTTATTATATTCCCTCACTTTCTCAATTTCCCTTTGTTACTCGCCACCTTATATCCAGAGAAACACAATTTTTGGATGGAACACAATATACATTCTAAATAGGAATACTGCGTGCAACAAAACTCGACTTGTCTAAGCGGCTTAGGGATATTTTTTCACGCGCTGCACAAAATCCTAAGACGGATGGAGGAGTTAGCGGCCTGGCTAACAAGCGCAGCATTTTAATCCGAAATTATTGATGGATGCGATAAAACGGGAGCCGGGCCAACACGAATTTTCTTTTGGGGTTTGTTTTAGTGGAAACGAATTTCTTTAACGTGATTGTTATTTAAATAAGTCGGACGTGACGGGCAGTGGAGTCGCGAGCTTCGCTCGCTCCGCATCGCTCGGGCATTCTCTCATTAACAGTGATAAACTGTTGTAATAAAATCCGGGCACGAGCTTCGTTCGCTCTTTTCCTGCGCTTTATTACGAACTCGAACACTTCTTTGCAATTAATTTTCTCCCCTGAAACAGTTATTATTCGAGTAATGATAACTCTTTGAAGTTTAAAAAACCGAAGAAAATAATTTCCAACTCCTTTTATCCTGTAATTAGGAAATTAAATTTTGCCAAAACGCGTTTTCTGCTTCAAGAAATCCCGAGTGCTCTTTCACCTCTTATTAACTCTTCGGAACTGAGACACCGACGGTGGAGAATTCGGAACATACGCAAACGTATAAAATATTGAAGCAGATGTAATGCTGTATATTGCAGTCTGTACGTTCGCAAAACACACTCTCGCAAACAGCTACCTTGGAATATTAAAGTAGAGTGAATTTACATACAAAGAACGGCTGGTGTCACTTTGTGCTCGCTACACCTCATTTACTTTGATAAAGTGACGTTTGTAAACGTTAAATTTGTGGCTTAAAAAAACCGAACGAGTGTTATACAATTTCAAATTGAGCGTCAATTACGAAATTTGAAGCACTAAATTCAACTACTTTCGTGTTTTTTTTTTGCATTGAAGGCAAAAAATCTAAATTCCTCTGTAACAACGCGAATTCGGCTATAAGCAAACGTATAAAATATTGAAGCCCCGTAAGCCGGTATATTGCAGTCTGTACGTTCGCAAGACATAGACTCGCTACCTTGGAATGTTAAAATAAAGTAAATCTACATAAAAACAGCAGTCACGAAGCGTTGATATTAGCAGTGTGAACCACAGGGGTGCAGATGTACGTGAAAAATAACCTCATAACGTGTGCTGCATATGCAGCATAATACTCCATTCACCCCGACGTGATCAATTCGATCCGTCTATTTTTTTTAATGCCGGCTTTATCGAAAGAGCATTAAGAACTTAACATGCAAACCCGCAAAGTTGAACGCTCGGGGAGCACTAAATCAAATCTATCGAATCGCGTCTTATCTAGTCTTCGGAAAGAGTCGCAGATAGAATTGGCCGAAAAAATATTGAATCGCCGGGGGCGCTTTTAATTAGGGGGTGATTACGGTGATAAAATGGTTGGTTTCATCACACGTTGCTCACTTTGGCGGATAATTTGGGGAAAAATGTACGAACGAGGGTTTATTAAAATTGAAGGATCTGCTTTTATTTTTGTGGAAGTTTTACTGAGTTTTTTTTTTTTGTTTCAGAGTTAATTTAATTTGGAGGAGCCGCTGGAGGGAAGGTTAGTATGATGCGGATGTGGGACACTATTATTGAAAATTGGATTTGATGACACAAAGGGTCGGTAATGAGCCTAAATGATTTTGTCCGAGAATGTTATTAAACTTTAGCATTAGCCGCCCCCTAAAATATTAATAATGAAATTGTTTACGATGCTGCAGATGTTTTGCTAAGTAATTTGCTTGAGATGGGAGATAATTTGGGAGATTAAATTTGATGTCAGTTATTACAAAATTTTCAGCAGATTTATTATGAGCAGAGTACGGATTATTTATTTCTCGAATATTCCGGGGTGATTAAGGGCCGTGTTGAACAGGCTAATGCAAATGTAGGTTCCGTGTGAAAAATTCATTGGGACAAAGCGGTACAAACCCGCTTATTTCTGTCCGATGTTACAACTAGAGTCCGGATTTATTTTAATGTAATTTTTCAATTTTTCAAAATTAAAATTTTAGATTTTGGGGATTTCGTTTCTCGATTTTTAGATGATTTTTCAATTTTTCGACTTCTCGATTCTTTGATGTTATGATGTTTCGAATTCTCGATATTCCAAATTTTACGGTTTTTTAATTTTCTGACATTTCAATTTCTCGATTTTTTAATTTTAGATTTTTCGGTTTGTCGCCTTCTTGATCTTTTGATGTTTCGATTTCTGCATGTTTCAATTTTTCAATTTTCCGTTGTTTCGATTTCTTGGTTTTTCGACTTTGCGATTTTTCGGCTTTTCCATTCTTCAAATTCTCAGTTTTTGAAATTTCAAATTTTCGATTTCTCGATAATTGAATTTTTTCTTTTCGATTTCTCCATTTTTAAATTCTTTGGATTTTGTTTTTTTTCCATTTTACGATTTTGTAATTTTTTTATATTTCAGTTTTGCGATTTTTCCAAATTTACAATTCTCGACTTCTTGATTTTTCAATGTTTAAAAGTTTTTCGATTTCCCGATTTTTTAAATTTCCGATTTCTCATCTTTTCAACACTTGAATTTTGGGAATATTTCCATTTTTCAATTTTTCGGTATTTTAATTTTAGATTTTTCGGTATGTCGATTTATTGATCTTTTGATATTTCGTTCTGGATGTTTCGATTTTTCAATTTTCCGATGTTTCCTAGTACTTCCTAAGGCTAATTTTGGCACATGACATACAGAGGGTGGGTGGGCGGGGCTAGTACTTGCTAAGATATAACTGAACAATATTAAGGGTAGTCACTGGAATAAAGAGGGGGTGGGTGGGCGGGGCTACTGTTTGCTTATAAGACTCTTTAGAAAAGAGCTAAACTTAGCTCCGCCCACCCTTTTTCTCTATTTCACTGACCTATTTTATTTACAGACATATGAAAATTGAATTCCATTTTGATAAGCGGTAGAACTTAAGATTTAAACAAAGTAAAAATTGGCCCCGCTTAGCCACCCCTATTCTGTTTTGACCATTCGTCTTTTTGACTCTAACGAACGGAAGTTGGTTTTTATATTGATAAATAATTGAATCTACGATTTCATTTTTTTGGATTTCTCGGTTTTCCAATTTCGCGATGTTTCAGCTTTTGAATTTTCGTTTTTTCGATTCTCGATTTTTGGATTTGCGAATTTCCGGTTTTCCAATTTTTAGAATTTTCTTTTTTTCAAATAGGTATTTGATTAATCGAAGTTCTGATTTTTCGACTCCTTTTTCTATTTTTCGATTTTTCAATTTTCACTAATTCGGCTTTCGATATTTCATTTTTTCTATATTTTATTTCTTGGATATTTAGATTTTTTGAAATTCCAATTTTCGAATTTTCGGTTATCCGATTTTCCGCATTTCAATTTTTTTGAATAATTGATTTACGATTTTTCGGTTTTTCATGTTTTGAATATTCGATTTTTCAATTTTCCCATTCTTCAATTTTTAGATTTTCTTTTTCGATTTTTGGATTTTCGAATTTTTACTTTTCCAATTTTTCGAATTTTCTTTTTTTCGAATATGTATTTGATTCATCGAAGTTTCGATTTTTCCACTTCTTTTTCTACTTTTCGATTTTTGTCGATTTCTTGCTAAGATAAGACTAATTTTGGCAAATGAAATACTCTCTAAAAAAATAGAGGGCGGGTGGGCGGGGCTAGTACTTGCTAAGATATGACTGAACTATATTAAGAGTAGTCACTGGAATGAAGAGGGAGTACATGGGCGGGGCTACTCTTTATACTACCACTGTTTGCTTATAAGACTCTTTAGAAAAAAGTTAAACTCAGGCCCGCCCACCTCTTTTCACTATTTTAATGACTTATTTTATTTACTGTAAAATGGGAATTGAATTTTTTTTCATAAGCGGTAGAATCGAAGATTTAAAACAAAGTAAAAATTCCCCCGCCCACCCACCCCTATCCTGTTTTGGTCATCCTTATTAGCTCTGACGAACGGAAGTTGGATTTTACATTGATAAATAATAGAGTTTAGGATTACATTTTTTTAAATACAATTTAATTTTTACTTAAATTGTTTCAATTTTTAGATTTTGCAAGTTTTCAATCAGCAATCTCACGAGTTTTCAATTTTTAATTATTCAATTTTTCATTTCATCCATTTTTCGATTGGCAATTTTTAATTTTTTTTTTTGCTAGTAGGTACTTGCTAAGATAAGAATGACATATCCTCTAAGAAAAATTCGATTTCTCGGTTTTTCGACCTTGGGATTTTTCGGCTTTTTGATTTTTCAAATTGTCAGATTTTGAAATTTCAAATTTTGGATTTTTCGACTTTTAAATTTTTGATTTTCAAATTTTCAACTTATTTTGTTTCCTTTTCAGTTTCTCGATTTCTGAATTTCTCTGTTTTGCCCTTTTTCGATTTTTCTAAATTTTGACCTTTGGATTTTTCCATTTTTCGAATTTTCAAATTTTCGGTATTCGAATTCTTTTAATATGGATTCCTCGACTTTTTTTCATTTTTCAACTTTTCGATTTTTCGGTTTTAGAATTTTCGCTTTTTCGACTTTCCATAATTCGCTTTTTTATATTTCGATTCTTGGATTGTTAGATTTTTCGAAAACTCGATTTCCGAATATTTGAATTTTTGAATTTTCAATTTTCCGATTCTTCGGATTTTCATTTTCTCGAATATTTGATTATCGAATTTTCGATTCCTCGATTTTTCCATTTTCAGTTTTTGAAATTTCAAATTTTCGATTTTTCGATAATTGAATTTTTTCATATCGATTTCTCGATTTTCGCGTTTTGATTTTTCCATTTCTCGATTTTTAGATTTTAGAATTTTCGGTCTTCCAATTTTTCAAATTTTCGAAAATCTCGATTTTCGAATTTTTGAGCTTTTGGATTTTCGATTTTTCGATTTTCCGATTCTTCGGATTTTTATTTTCTCCAATGTGTGATTATCGAATTTTTGATTACTCCATTTTTCAATTTTCAGGTTTTGAAATTTCAAATTTTTGATTTTTCGATAAATGAATTTTTTCATTTCGATTTCTCGATTTTCGCGTTTTTGATTTTTCGGTTTTTCGATTTTTAGATTTTCGAATTTTCGGTTTTCCAATTTTCCGAATTTTCGTTTTTTCGTAAATTTGATACATCGAACTTTTGATTTTTTGATATTTGAATTTTCAATTTATATTGTTTTCTTTTCAATTTCTCGATGTCTGGATTTTTCTGTTTTCCAATTCTTCGATTTTTCTAAATTTCGAATTTTGGATTTTTTCATCGAATTTTTTTAATTTCGATTCCTCGATTTTTAATTTTTCCATTTTTCGACTTTTCGAATTTAGAAATTCCGCTTTTCCGACTTTCAAAATTCCTTTGTTTCTATATTTCCATTCTTGGATTTTTAGACTTTTCGAAATCTCGATTTTCGAATTTTTGATTTTTCGGTTTCTCGGTATTCGAATATTTAATTTCGATTTTATTTTTCAATTTTTCAGATTTTGAAATTTCAAAATTTTAGATTTTTCGATTTTAAAATTTTTGATTTTCGAATTTTCAGCTTTCTAATTTTTTGAATTTTCAACTTATTTTGTTTCCTTTTCAGTTTCTCGATTTCTGGATTTCTCTGTTTTGCTATTTTTCGATTTTTCTAAATTTTCAACTTCGGATTTTTCCATTTTTCGAATTTTCAAATTTTCGGTGTTCGAATTTTTTTAATTTCGATTTCTCGTTTTTTTCATTTTTCGACTTTTCGATTTTTCGGTTTTAGAATTTTCGCTTCTTCGACTTTCCATAATTCGCTTTTTTATATTTCGATTGTTAGATTTTTCGAAATCTCGATTTTCGAACATTTGAATTTTTGAATTTTCGATTTTTCGATTTTCCGATTTTTCGGATTTTCATTTTTTTGGAATATTTGACTATCGAATTTTCGATTCCTCGATTTTTCAATTTTCAGTTTTTGAAATTTCAAATTTTCGATTTTTCGATAATTGCATATTTTCATTCCGATTTCTCAATTTTCGCGATTTTGATTTTTCGGTTTCTCGATTTTTAGATTGAATTTTCGGTTTTCCAATTTTTCAAATTTTCGTTTTTTCGAAAATTGAAATTTCATTTCGATTTCTCGATTTTCGCGTTTTTGATTTTTCGGTTTTTCGATTTTTAGATTTTCGAATTTTCGGTTTTCCAATTTTCCGAATTTTCGTTTTTTCGTAAATTTGATACATCGAACTTTTGATTTTTCGATATTTGAATTTTCAATTTGTATTGTTTCCTTTTCAATTTCTCGATGTCTGGATTTCTGTTTTTCATTTCTTCGATTTTTCTAAATTTCGAATTTTGGATCTTTCCATATTTCGAATTTTCAAATTTTCCATATTCGAATTCTTTTCATTTCGATTTATTAATTTTTTCCATGTTTCGACTTTTCGATTTTTCGGTTTTAGAATTTTCGCTTTTTCGACTTTTTCTAATTCGCTTTTTTATATTTCGATTCTTGGATTGTTAGATTTTTCGAAATCTCGATTTTCGAACATTTGAAATTTTGGATTTTTCGATTTTAAAATTTTTGATTTTTCGATTTT